CTGTGGCGTCACAGCTCACAGCAACCTCCAACTCCTGGGCTTAGGCAATTCTCTTGCCTCAGCCTCCTGAGTAGCTGGGACTGTAGGCACCCACCAAAAATACCTGGCTATTTTTTTGGTATTGTAACAGTTTGGCCGGGGCCAAGTTTGAACCTGCCACCCTCGGTATATGGGGCCAGCGCCCTACCCATTGAGCAATAGGCACTGCTAAGAAGGTAAGTTTTTACAATATATTTTTAGCTCCTGACTTATAAGAGTCATAATTTTGAATTATAAATTTTTCTTGTTTTTGTTTTGAGACAGTCTCAGTCTTTCGCTCTGGGTAGAGTGTCGTCTTGTCATACCTCACAGCAGCCTCAAACTTTTGAGCTCAAGCTATCCTCTTGCCTCAGCCTCCCCAGTAGCTGGGACTACAGGTGCCTGTCACAATGCCTGGCTAGTTTTTTTCTATTTTTAGTAGAGATGAGGGTATCACTCTTACTCAGGCTGTTCTCAAACTCCTAAGCTCAAATAGTCCACCTGCTTCAGCCTCCCAGATTGCTAGGATACAGGCATAAGCTACCACACATGGCTGAATTACATATTTAGTTTTCTTAATTCAGTAGTAAACTTCAGAAATGTTTCATATATGCAGAGTTGCTTCACATCTGAAGTAGAGTATGAGATAGTTCTGCATCTGAAATAGAACTAGCTGGGCTAGTTTAAATAAAAATAGCCAGGCATTTTTTTTGGTGGGCACCTGCAGTTCTGCAGCTATTCAGCACTAGAATAGTGCTATTTGTTTTAAAAACAAATTAAATTGGAGTGTATTATTGAATACCTAATAAGTGTTAAGTACCCTGCCAAGCCCTCTTGAACCCAAACTTAAAAGAAGCTCACATTCCAGTGGGGAGATACAGATAAGTAATAATAATAGGAGGTAGAAAGTAATAAGGGGCATCCCAGAGTACCAATAAAGTTCTAGAGTTCAGAGGAGAGAAAAGACCAGTTTTAATTGGGAGAGCTTAAAAAAGATGTTACAGAGAATTAAGCAAGTAAGCTGGGCTCTGAAGGATTTGCAAATAAGGGAAATTTATCTATTGATTTCACAGTTTAGTCAGTGTACTATTATTTTGATATACTCCAGATTTTGGAGTTAGACCAAGTATATTAAAACTCTGGCTTTTCTACGTACTAGTTATTTGACATCTCTGAACTTGAATTATCTCATTTGTAAAATGAAGTAATATTACCTGGAAGGTTAATGTGAAAATGTAATGAGATATTGTAGATAAGCAATGATCTCAGTACGTGACCCATGCTAGATACTCAGTAAATGGTGGTTATAATTGTTAATAGATCACATCATCCATCTTGAGATATACTAGTGTATCATGGTGAGTAAGCAAAGTATTAAAAAAACATGAATTTCAGAGCTGTCGGTCAAATGCCCTTCTTTAATCACTCAGCAAATAAACAGGCCAATGTATATTAACATTTTTCTGATTAAAACCAATTATCATCTATAAGCAGAGACTTGAAATATCTATGCCTTTTCTTGTATAGGAATAGAACTATATTACTTTTGGCTCTGCACCTGTACCTCAGCAGCTAGGGTGCCAGTCACATACACCAGAGCTGGCGGGTTTGAATCTAACTGGGGCCTGCCAAACAACAATGACAACTACAGCAAAAAATGACCAGGTGTTGTGGCAGGCGCCTGTAGTCCCAGCTACTTGGGGGCGGAGGCAGGACAATCACTTGAGCCCAGGAGTTGGAGGTTGCTGTGAGCTGTGGTACAATAGCGCTCAACCCAGGGCAATAGCTTGAGGTTCTGTCTCAAAAAAAAAAAGAAAAGAAAAGAAAAGAAAACAGTGAATTTAAGCTAGATTAACCATCATTGTATATATGGTGCAGTTTTATTTTAATTTGGTTGTGATTGAAGCTATAACTAATGGTGAAAGTTATAAGTAAACCATTAGGCTCAGCTTCAGAGCTACACATTTAAAACTATTTTATCAGAGGTCAGAAGATTTGAGCACTGATCTTTTTTGGGGGGGGAGGTGTTGCCCATTGCTTTGGTTATATGTAGCGTCAAGTCATTAGTGTTGTATTTACTCCTTTAGCAAAATTAAAAATACAGATTTGCTAAGCAACCATAGCTATACAATAAAAAGTATTTTTTATGAACAGATACTAGTTATGTTTTGAATTTATTATATTACAGGCTGTCCCCAGACTACAAACCAAATAGGTTCTGTAGCTTTGTTCCTAAGTTGAATTTGTATCGAAGTTGGAATGGGTACATTGGTCTGCCTATTAACCTGTAATAGCTCTCATTCAGAAATGCAGATGTTTATAATTCAGGGACTTAACTGTAATCGTCTCCATCTGTAAGTAAGAGTTGAGTTGTACATAGGCAGATGTTTTTAACTCAATGACTGCCTGTATATACATATTTTTGTGAGCTTAATGATCATTGCTGTTAGCGTCTTATTATGACAATTTAAGTGCATAAAGGTATATGGGTTAGAAGTGGGAAGCTGAGTGGAGGTTTTACAAGAACAATTTAAGATGTTAGAGGCACAAAGTGATTCTATTAATAAGCAACTGAGAGATGAGGAGGGGAAAAAGAATTAAATAGCCTGAATTTGGGACAAGTGGGAATTAAGACTGGGAGAAATGAGTCAGGGAACTGCTGCTGTGTTAACACATTGTTGACTGGCAGTTTTACATGGAAACTAACCATGTTACTGGTAACTTATGACCATTCAACAATGTGTTAAGATGGCTAGGGGACCAGAAAAGCTAGCTGTGTAGGGTGGCACCTGTTGGCTCAGTGAGTAGGGCGCCGGCCCCATATCCCGAGGGTGGCAGGTTCAAACCCAGCCCCAGCCGAACTGCAACCAAAAAGCAGCTGGGCACTGTGGCAAGTGCCTGTAGTCCCAGCTACTCGTGAGGCTGAGGCAAGAGACTCACTTAAGCCCAGGAGTTGGAGGTTGCTTTGAGCTGTCTGATGCCACGGCACTCTACCAAGGGTGATAAAGTGAGACTCTGTCTCTACAAAAAATAGTAATAATAATAAGGAAAGAGAAAGCTAGCTGTGGAGGTGATATGAAGTTAACAGATCTCTAAGAATTTTGAAGAAAAGTGAAACAAGGGCAAGGAAAGAAGAACAAGTCAAACAAAGCTTTTTAGTAAGGGTGAGTAATTGTTTGGATTATGACTTAGAAGCAAAAAAAAAAAATTACAAACATGAGAATGATAGGTGTCTTTTTTATAGTCCGGCTTTGTTTGAGGGAAAGAGAGAGAGAGAGAGAAACCCTTTCCACCCAATCTTAGCTAGCTTTAGATATAAATCTTAATGTAATGGCAAAACTACATAGGCTAGCAAGGCACATGTTTCCTCAAAGCATATTATAGAACTCTGTCTGATAATGAACATAATAACTTTTCATTACCAAACATTTTTGTAGATGTTATTCCACAATCTATGCAAGATTTGCTGTGTATGAATAATGACTTTCCTCCAAGAGCACACTGCCTGGTAAGATGGTATGTATACATTTTATTCCGATAGCTTTTAGTATGATTGTTGGCGAGACTCAAAGACTGCCCTTTAGTGATTTGCTAAGAGGATTGACAATGCTTACAGTTGATTTATTACAGCAACAAGAGGCAAAGCAAAAACCAGGAAAGGGAAAAGTCACATAAAGCAAAGTCCCAAGTAAGTACAAGCTTGTAAAGAGTCCTTTCCTAATGGAGTCACATAGGATGTGCTCAATTCCTTCTGCAACAAGTTGTGACAGTTCAAGTGAAACATTGTATATCAGAGAAGCTTGTTAGAGGCTCAGCCCCTAAGGTTTTTAATTGGGGGCTGGTCATGTAGGTACCCTCTGATTGGGATATACCAAAAGTTTAGACTCCCACAAGGAACGTATTTAGGATAACCACATTGTACAAACAGTTTAGGCAGAGTGAGTAACTTTTAATCAATTCTGGGAGTGATGAGAACTCGTTCTAAATCCAAATTTCCAGGTATCAGCCAAGAGCCAACCTTGCCAGCAAGGTTGTAATTGAAACTGTAACTAAAGGGTGACAAAAGCCCTGTCCACCCTTTTCTTCACAGTGTGTTTCATAATCAAGGGTAGTACCTCAGGGTCCTTAAACTTTTTAAACAGGGGGCCAGTTCACTGTCCCTCAGACCATTGGAGGGCCAGACTGCGGGCCCGGGGACGAGTCGGCTGCTAAGCAGGACGGGAAGCGAAGGCAAAAACACCTGGCAGGCTGGATAAATGTCCTAGGTGGGCCGCATGTGGCCCACAGGCCATAGTTTGAGGATGCCTGGCATAGAACATTTAAGTATCATAAAAATTTTAATATCATTGGATATTATCTTGAAATAAAATGTTGATCTGAGTTATGTAGTAAAATCAAAACTCACTTATGTCTAAACAATAAATGTGATACATTAATGTAAGAAGTGCAGTAGTCCCTCATTATCTATAGTTTTGCTTTCTGCAGTTTTGGTTACCCATATTCTACTGTAGTCCAAAAAATAAGTTTTAGATTTTACCCTATTCTGAGTAGCATGATGAAATCTCATTCTATCCCATCTGGGAGGTGAATCTTGCCCTTGTCCAGCATAGATACACTGTATACTCTGCCCTCCCATCAGTCACTTATTCTTGGTTATCAGATGGACAAATCACAAGAAGAAAGGTGAATATAGAAAACTAAAATATCTTAGGGAGAGAGAGACTATATTCACGTAACTTTTATCACAGAACATTGTGATCATTTTTCTATTTTATTGTTATTAGGGCTCTCACTGTGCCTAATTTATAAGTTAAACTTTATCATTGGTACGTATGTATAGGGAAAAACAGTATGCGTCAGGTTTGGTACTATCTGCATTATCAGGTATCCAATAGGGTTCTTAATGTATCTACCAAGGAAAAAGGAGGACTATAGCATATCACACTTATTTATGTATGTACGTTTATATTTGACAGTCACTCTTTTGCCCTGGGTAGAATGCCCTGGCATTATACCTCACAGCAGCTTCAAACTCTTGGGCTCAAGAGATCCTCTTGCCTCAGCTTCCCGAGTAACTGGGACTACAGGTGCCTGCCAGAATGCTGGGCTAGTTTTTCTAGTTTTAGTAGATGGTGTCTCTCTCTTGCTCAGGCTGGTCTCGAACTCCTGAGCTCAGGCAATCCACCTGTCTTGGCCTCCCAGGGTGCTAGGATTATAGGTGTGAGCCACTGCAACTATCTAACATATCACATTTTAAAAAGATCTTTCTAAGGTTTTTCAATTATTCAAAGAGTCTCTGAACTTTATTTACTTATTTATTTATTTATTTATTTTGGCGACAGGATCTCATTATGTTACCCTCAGTAGAATGCTATAGCATCACAGCTCACAGCAACCTCAAACTCTTGGTCTTAAGTGATTCTCTTGCCTCAGCCTCCCAAGTAGCTGAGACTACAGGTACCTACCACAACACCCAGCTATTTTTTTGTTACAGTTGTCATTGTTGCTTTAGCTAGCCCAGGCCAGGTTTGAACCCGCCTGGTTCAGTGTGTGTGGCCAGCACCCTACCCACTGAGCTACGGACATCACCAACTTTATTTATTTTGGATGAGATGATGTTAAAACATACACAGTATCATAGAGCATGGGCTTTGCATGAATGCATTCATTCAACATTAATTGAATATCTACTGTTTTTTGTTTGTTTTTTTTTGAGACAGAGCCTCAAGCTATCCCCCTGGGTAGAGTGCAGTGGCATCACAGCTCACAGCAACCTCCAACTCCTGGGCTCAACCGAGTCTCTTGCCTCAGCCTCCCAAGTAGCTGGGACCACGGGCGCCCACCACAATGCCTGGCTATTTCTTGGTTGCAGCTGTCATTGTTGTTTTTGGTGAGATCAGGCTGGATTCGAACCCACCACCTTAAGTGTATGTGGCTTGTGCCTTAGCCACTTGAGCCACAGGCCCTGAGCCAATATCTATAGTTTTGCCAGAAACTAAATTAGGTTTAATTCATAGCTCAGGCACTTAGTATCTCTGCAACTTTGGGCAAGTTACTTAATTTCTCAGAGTTCATTTCTGCACTGGTAAAGTCAGAAAAATAATAGGTACCTTCAGGGTAGTTGTGAGCATTAAATAAGATACTGACACCTAATAGATTTATCAAAATGTGAATGCTGTCCCATAACTTCTGTTCAGCTTTTTAATATGTATTTTCCAAAACTGCTTGGCACATAGTCCATGGTTAAAAATATTTATTAAGGGCTGGGTATGGTGGCTCACACCTGTAATCCTAGCACTCTGGGAGGCCAAGGTGGGTAGATTGCCTGAGCTCACAGGTTTGAGACCAGCCTGAGCCAGAGCAAGACCTTGTCTAGTAGCAGGGCCATTGTGGTGGGTGCCTGCAGTCCCAGTTACTTGGGAGGCTGAGGCAAGAGAATCTCTTGAGCCCAAGAGTTTGAGGTTGCTGTGAGCTATGATACCATGGCACTCTATTGAGGGCGACAAAATGAGACTCTGTCTCAAGAAAAATAAAAAATATATATATATATATTTGTTGAATGAATAAATGAAACCTTTTAATGTATTGATGTAAATAACTTGTTTGTAGAGTTTTTTTTAACCTTTTGGGTTACTTTTTTAAAGTTAGCATACAATAAAATTGACTTTTTAGGGGGAGGAGAACAGTTCTGTGACTTTTTAGGGGGAGATGAATAGTTCTAGAATTAGAAAACACATAATTTTCTAATATTACAAAAATCAGATGAAAGTGGAAAACATTATTCTTAGTAAAGCATCAAGAATGGAGAAGCAAGAATCCCATATATTCAATTCTGATATGAGGACAATTAATGACCTAGTACATGCTGGGAGGTGGGGGAAGAGGAGAGCAGAGAGAGGGAAGGAGGGAGGAAAGTGGGGGGCGGGTCACAGTGTGCGACATACCTTACGGGGGCCGGACACAATTATAAGAGGGACTTTACCTAACAAATGAAATCAGTGTAACCTGGTTCTTTGTACCCTCAATGAATCCCCAACAATAAAAAAGAAAGGAGGAGAGAGAGAGAGAAGGAAGGCAGAAACAGAAAGAAGGAAGGAAGGAAGACAGGAACAGAAGGAAGGAAGGGAGGGAGGGAGGAAAGGAAGGCAGAAAGTCAAGAAGGAAGGAGTTTTTAAGAAAGGCTAGAAGGAAGGAAGGAAGAAGGGAAGGAGGAAAGGGAGAGTTCTGTAACACCCCAATAACCTCTCTTGTCCCTTAGTAGGCACACCCTCCCTACATCCTTATAATCTCTGGAATCATTGATCTATTCTTGGTCATTGTAATTCTGTCCTTTTGAGAGTGTCTATAAATAGAATTATACCATATGAAACCTTTTGAGACTGGCTTCTTTTACTCAACATGGTGCCTTTGCGATCTTTTGAAGTAAATTCTGTATATCAATAGTTTGTTCCATTTTATTGCTGAGTAGTATTTTATTGTAAAGATATCCCACAGTTTATTTACTCACTCATTCATTGATGGATATTAGGATTGTTTTGGGGTTTTGGCATTTATGAATAGAGCTGCTATGAATATTTATGTATAGGTTTTTGTGTGAAAATATATCTTCAGTTCACTTGGGTAAATACCTAGAGTAGGATTGTTAAGTCATAGGTAAATCCATGTTTGACTTTATAAGAAACTACCACATTGCTTTCTTGAGTAAGCTGTACCATTTTGCATTCCCACCAGTGGTATATGAGAATTTTAGTTTTTATATTCTTACTAGCTCTTGGTATGGTCAGTATGTTTTATTTTAGCTATTCTAGTAGGCATGTAGTAGTATCTCATCCTAATTTTACTTTTTATTTTGAATATTGTTTGTGTTTTTATTTCCCATTTGATCTTCTCTGTGTTCAAGTCTTTTGTGTATATATATGTGTGTATATATATATATATTTTTTTTTTTTTTAATTGGGCTGTTTTCTTACTATTGAGTTTTTAAGAGTTCTTCAAGTATTGGATATGTCTTTTTTAGAATATCTAATTTGCAAACATTTTCTCCCACACTATAATTTATCTTTTCATTTTCTTTGCAATGTCTTTTCTAAAACAAGTTTTAAAATTTGATGAAGTTCTGTTCATTGATTTTTTTATTTTATGGATTGTGCTTTTGGTGCCATGTTTAAGGACTCTTTGCTCTAGATCACAAATCTTGTATTTTGTAAAGATAATTTTTTTTATTTTGGAATAATTTTAAGTTTATAGAAAAATGGAAGACTGTTCAGGTATACTACTCACTTGATTTATCTTACACATGGTACATGTGCCAAAACTGAAAAACTAACATCAGTACATCATTATTAGCTAAACTTAACTAGTTTTTCCACTAATGTCTATTTTTTATTCAGGGATCCAGTCTAGGATACCACATTGCATTTACTCATCTTGTCTCTCATCTCTGAAAGTTTCTGAGTCTTTGTTTTTCATTGTTTCAGTAGTTTGAGGTATTGGTCAGGTATTTTGTGGAATCTCCC